CTAACCCAGGATCCCAGAGCAGAGGGACACGACTGGGTATGTATTGGGAGACTGATTTCACTGAGATCAAACAGGGAAAATTTGGATATAAATATTTACTAGTATTCATAGACACCTTCTCTGGATGGACTGAGGCCTACCCAACCAAACATGAGACAGCTCACGTGGTAGCCAAGAAGCTAATCAAAGAGATCCTGCCCAGGTATGCTTTCCCAACTACAGTCGGCCCAGATAATGGGCCAGCCTTTGTCTCTCAGGTAAGCCAGGGAATAGCCACTGCACTGGGGGCCAATTGGAAACTACATTGTGCTTATAGACCCCAGAGTTCAGGACAGGTAGAAAGAATGAATAGAACTCTAAAAGAGACCTTAACCATATTAGCTTTAGAGACTGGCACAGACTGGGTGGCTCTCCTCCCCTTTGCCCTAACACTCCATACCAGAAGGGCTTGACCCCCTTTGAAATCATGTATGGAAACCCCCCTCCTATGATACTAGCCTCCAAGCTGACCTAGTATCAACCTTGGGAGACCAGGACCTACTGGACTCACTCCAACGGTTGCAGCTAACCCACCAATGGGTCTGGCCGCAACTCAGAGCCATATATGAAGCTGCTGTACCCCCGCAACCCCACAGGTTTAAACCGGGCGACTGGTTCTTCATCTGCAGACACCAACGGAAAAATCTCGAGCCAAGATGGAAGGGCCCCTTCGTGATCCTCTTGATGACTCCCACCTCACTCAAAGTGGACGGCGTCGCGGCTTGGGTGCACTACTCCCACGCAAAACCTGCCGACACATTTGCAGTCCCAGAGGATTACAAGGGAGACACCTGGAAGGCATCCCCACACCCTTCGAATCCATCCAAGCTCTGCATCCGGATGAGACCCTTCCTGCTAACCTGTCTGTTGTTGACATTGAACTGCTTATCATGCCCCTTAGCATGATCCCCCCAGATACTGTTAGGGTTCCAAATAGCAGCTCCCCGCCCTCCCCAACAGGGACTTACAAACTCTGCTGAGAAGCAGCCTGCCTTTCCTCTGACCTCCAAAGATAAGATAAGCAGAGTTCCTCTTATCTTAAGAGGAAAAAGAAAACACTTCCACACCCTAATCCCCCTCCCTGATTTCTCTCCATTTCCCCCCCTTCCACACCCTAAAGCCTCCATATGTAAAGTCCCAGCTCACAACCCGTGAGCGGACATCTTTCCCTTTGTGGACATCCTTCCCTTCCCTTCCCTTCCCTTCCCTTCCCTTCCCCTTCCCTTCCCTGACATCTTTCCCTCCGCCAACATCTTTCCCTTCCCCAAGGGAAAGGTGCCCCGTGCGAAATAAATCTGTATCCGGCTGAGAATTCCATCTGTGCCTCGGTGCCTCATCCATCCGCTCGTGCCTTCCTCCATCCGCGCCGCCCGCTCGCTCCCGCCCGTTCTCTACCCATCAGATACCTGTGAGCTGGCCAACCAGAACCCATGATTGGTTTCCCCAGTTACAAGACAAGGGGGGAATGTAGGACCCTGAGACCCTCTTCATTCACCCACTATCCCCCAATCCCTTCAGACCCCCACTAATTGCTCTTTTAGCTTCTGTAAAATGCTTGGCTGCTGCTTTAGACATGCCTAGACATGCCCTGACCACCGCCTGCTATCCCCCCCTTCCAGGAAACTATACATTAAGCAAACCCGGGCATGAAAACTGCCCTATAAGGTAAAAACTGAGACTCCTGGCCCCACAGATAATAGTCAGCACATTCCACAGCCCTGAGAATAGCACCTACCAATAAGAAACTTCCAGGGCTGCATCTTATACACCCAATCAGCTTAAAATTATGTTGGTGCATGCAGGCTCCTTGAACCAACCAAAATGTATTATCTTCAGTATCCCCCTCCTCTCTTTGTCTAAAACCTATAAAAGGCTCCACTCTCCCTTACTCTGGGCTCTCAGCATGGATCTGTTGAGTTGGTGAGGTCTGAGAGCCCGAGCTTAAGCCCGAATAAACCATAAACCTTTGCTTTTGCATTTTGGTGTGTTGGGTCCTCGGTGGTCTTTTTGGGGTCCAGTGGATGAGGTACAACACCACAACTTTGCAGATGTCCTGTGGGAACTCTGCCTGTATGTCTGGAGTCCCTTTGTGTTTCTATCCATTACACCTTTCACATGACTATGAACATTTCACTGGTTTCTCATAATCTGTGTAAAGTCCCTCTGCCCAGGCCAAGCACAACAAGTTCATACCTAAGATCACTAAATGTCATCAGGGAAGAAAACAGCTTACTTGCCAGCCAGCTCACTTAGCCCAGACCTTAACAAAAGATTCATTCAATTACATTGCCTTTTACAGCACAACGATTAAACAGATGAAGACACCAATTGAACTGTGGTCTTTGCAGGGACTTGAGGCAGTGAGAACATCATTTCAGAGAAAAGTGCTGGCATTACATAAGTTGTGAGCCACTTTACATGGGAGCTGAGAACAGAACTCAGGCCTTCAGCAGACGCTCGAGTGTTTGTAACTGCTGAGCCATCTCTCTGATCTCAAGACGAGTTTTACTTTAAGAAAACATAGCACTCAGGAGGCAAAGGCAGGTGGGTATCTGTGAGATCCTGTTGAGACCCTGTCTCAACAACAAAAAAACCAAAACAAACCAAAGAGTAGTATGTGGCAGACGGTAGTGTCAGGATTTACTTCAACAAATTGTTATCATGTGATCTGCAAGGTACTACCTTTGTCCAGTATCACTGTTACCACAGGGGCTCACTGTGTAGCCCTGACTGGTCTGGAATTCTATGTAGACCAAGCTGGCCTACAGCTCAGAGATGTATCTGCGACTGCTACTTGAGTGCTGGGATTTAAAGGTGTGCACCACCACTCCTGGCCCAGTATCTATTATTTTTAAGCAAGGTATATTGCATTCATTTTTTCACTTTATTTAGAATTGTTTTTTTTTTTAAATAATTCCTAAGATTTGTTTCATTTGTAGTGTTTTCCTTTATCAAACAAAGATAGCTTTATTGTTTACCCTACTGAGCTTGATTTAACTGGCCAGACCCCCAATGAGAAAACAAAAGGCCAAACTTTTAATATTTATTTTTATTTTATGTGTATGAGTGCATTGCCTGCATGTATGTGAGTGCACCCGTGTCGTGCATTGCCACGGAGGTCAGAAGAGGGATTCAGATTTCCCTGGAGCCGGAGTTAAGGACAGTTCATAGCTGTCATGTGGGTGCTGGGAATCAAACCCAGGTCCTCTGCAAGAGCACTCAGGGCTCTTAACCGCTGAGCCATCTCTCCAGCCCCAAGAGGCCAAACTTTCAGAACTGACCAAGCAAGCATGTGTTGTTCTTGTACTTCTTCAGTAAAAGTAGGGAGTAAGGGAGAAATGTCGGAACACTAAAACAAAAGCAAAGTTTCTACAAGAGGACTACCGCCATAGTGGAGAAAAAACAAAACAGTAGCAGTGTCAAACTAGATGAGACATTTGTTGTGGGAGAGGGGCCTGCATGTCTTTAAAAACAGAACTTAACTTGGGGGATAGGCTAAAGTGGATAAACTCCATTTCTCTTACGACTAAGTCGCCACGAGGAACTGTACTAAGCTGCTTATTTGCATGTATATGCCTGTAAATCTTAATTCATATTCTTGCTTGGCTCAAATTCCTTTTCTGTTTTCGCTCTTGAGAAAGGCCCTGGGCTACTGATTAGATCTGCTCGTTTTAGGCATTGGTTCAATGCATCCTCTTCGCTGATGGAATAATAAAATGCACAGAAACAGAAGCCTTAATAAACCGAGCTCCAAATATGCCTTTTAAAGCGCCATACGTAGGTGGAGGGCAACATGGGGGTACCGGGAGAGCAGCCCACACGAGAAGCGCTCCGGGTCCGTGAGGTCGGTCACTGTCCATGTCTCCTAACCAGCGTAGACACACGTGTAGCTCCACAGGCCAGCCCCGGATCTCAGGCTTTCTGGGGCCTGGATCCAGGGCGCCAGGCACCCTCACTTCCGGCCCCGCCCCCTCGCGCGGTTGCTAGGAGACGTGACGTCACCGGAAGCGAGGCCTGGGATAGGCTGTGGCGAGGGGCAGCCTCTCCCCCTCGGCAGCCTGGACGCCTACGCTGGTTCTCCAGCTGTTCGTAGGTCCTGGGCGAGGGTCGGCGAAGACCCAGCGGGCGGTGGCCGCTACTGCAAGCTCGCGGGCCGGGCCCCCCGCTGCTTCGAGTCGGGAGGAAGGCCTGGCTGGCGCTTCCGGGCGCTGATGACTGACAGGCTGCGTCGCCTCAGCCCGCGCTGCCCGCCACGTCCCCGCTCTCTGCCGGTGGCCCTGCGCTGTGGCTGACCGACCTCTAGGCGCCGCGCCAGATGTCAGCTCCCGGCTCCCGGAGCCTCGGACCTCCGTGGTCCGTGCAGCTGTGGCCGCTACTGCTGTTGCTGCTGGCGGCCGCGGCGCCGGCGCGCGCCTGGGAGAGCGCAGACCTGGAGCTGTTCGACTTGGTGGAGGAGGTGCAGCTGAACTTCTACGCGTTCCTCGGGGTGCCCCAGGTGAGCGCGTCGGGGGGGCGGAAAGGGGCGCGCGAGCTGCCCCGCCCTCCCCGCCGGCCCTATACCGCGCTCCAACTTCTGAACCTCCGACTGTGTGGGGCTGGACTGCGCCAGCCGCCTGGGGATGCTGGGAAGCTGGGATGCATTTCCGCACCCCCACGCTGTGCTGAAGGAAGAAGGGAGGGAGGTGTGGGTGGACAGTTTTTACACCTACCCCCCACCCTTTTGACAGTAACCGTGTGTCACCCCAAATTGTCATCTTCCTACTGCCGCGTAGGTTTATTTCCTCCGCCTCCTTTCCCCATCCTTGCTGGGAAGAGAGGAATGATTTTGCCCGGTGTCAGCAAAAGTTTTCCTTGCACCTTGCTTTGATGCAGAGTTAGAAATCTGGAGGAATCTGAAGCCTCTGCCAGGTTGGTACTGGAATGCGACGCTTCTAGGCTTGGTACTTGGAGTGCTAGTCAAAGAGAAGCCTGGCTAGCAACCATGGGTCAGCTGTTTGTGTCTGGCTGCGTTTGACTTTCCTTTCTAGTCTGGTTTTAGCTTGGATCTTTAGTAAAACTCACTTGTCTTTTATTTCTGCTCGAGAGCAGTCAAACGAGGGTGTTTATCGGGTCTCTACCCGAAACTTACCTCAGGAAAACGTGGCATCAGTCACCAACTTCAGGATTGTGGAGTGAACATTTCGCAAGATCGGATTGAGTCGTTCACACGATTGGCATAGTTTATAGGGGGTTAAAAAAAAAAATAGCCTTACTTGGTGGCACACGCCTTTAATTCCAGCACTCAGGAGGCAGAGGCAGGCAGATCGGTGTGAGATCAAGGCCAGCCTGGTCTACATAGTGAGTTCCAAGCCATCTGGGGGATACAGGGAGGAGACTCTGGCTCAAAAAAGACAAATAAATAAATAAAAGTTTACTAACAGTTGTCATTCAAGTCACACTTAACATGGACTAGATAGGAAACACACTTCTCTCATAGGTTATGAAATATTGAACTTTTAAAAGGAAATTAAATGTTCCCATTTAAATTTAACAAATAAATGGAAATGTAATTTTCAGTCACTGCATTTCCATTCCATTTTTGAAATTGCTAGGTCACCATAGCACTGTGAGTTTACCAATTCTTGTTATGGTAAGAGTTATAAATTATTCACACCTCAAATTCTTAGGAACAAATGGTTTTGTAAGAACTGAAGTACCACTTCTGGCTCACAGGAAAAAAAAAAAAAGCCTCATTCTCAAATGATGATGTAGTATGTGTAACAATTGATAAAACTGTAAGTTTAAAGATTAACTTTTTGTTTGGTTGGTTATAAGGTTTTAAAAAACATTTTAAAAAAAATTTTATGTGTATGAGTGTATTGCCTGCATGTAGGTTAAGTGCACCCATGTGGTGCAATGCCTGTGGAGGTCAGAAGAGAGCCCCTGGAACTGGAATTACAGACAGTTGTTAGCTTCTATGTGGATGCTGGGAATGAACCCAGGTCTTCTGCAAGAGCAGCCAGTGCTCTTAACTGCTGATCTATCTCTCCAGCCCCCAGGTTTTGAGTTTTTTGAGACAAGGTCTCACTATGTAGCACAGGCTCCCCTCTAAATCTTAATCCTCTTGCCTTAGATTCTTAGGTATTGGGATTATAGTCTTGGACCACCATGCCAGCCCTGAAGACTCACTTTAATTTTTAATTTTCTAATAATCTAGATTAGGAAGGACAGGGAATATTCTCAATTACATTTATTTATTATTTTTGTGAGTGTCATTGTGTACTTTCACTTGTGTCATGGTACACACGTGGAGGCCAACTCTTAGGAGTTGGTTCTCTCCTTCCACCATGTGGGCCCCAGGGATTAAACTCAGGTGGTCAGGCTCAGCAGCAGGAGCCTTGACCACTGAGCCATTTTGCCTGCTTAACAGTAACTTAAGGGGCTGGAGAGATGGCTCATTGGTAAGAGCACTGACTGCTTTTGCAGAGGACCTGGGTTCAAGTCCCAGCACCCACATGGCGGCTACGGACCATCCTTAACTCCAGTTCCAGGGGAATCCGAAGCCCTCTTCTGACCTCCGCAGCATTGCATGACACAGGAACACTCACATACATGCAGGAAATACACTCATGAACATAAAATAAAAATAAATAAAATATTTTTTTTAAAAAGTAAATTAAATATTGATAATAGTTGTTTAGTATTCACTAGATTGGTTCAAATCTGTAGCTAGTGAGAGTCATATATACGACCTATCAAAATACCTTGACAGTGCTTTCCAATTCTTTATAGAAGTTTAGCTCTTTTAAGAGAATAAAGAAATTTATCAGTAGTGTTATAAAATTTAGATTAACTAGGCATGGTGGCCCATGCTTTTAATCCCAGCACTTAGGAGGCAGAGGTAGAAGTAGAAGTCAGCCTGGTCTACATAGTGAAACCCTGTCTCAAAAGAACAAAAGTAAAAACAAAAAAGTTTGGATTATCTAGGGGCCATCAATAGTTAGAAGCACCTTGCTGGGTTTGGTTCCTAGCACCCACATCAGACAGCTCACAACTGCCTGTGACTCTAATTCTGTGTGTTCTCATGCCCTCTTCTGACTTCCACGGGCATCTGTATGTGCACATACACACACTCAGACATACACATAAAATAATTTTAAGAGCATGTACCTCTCTTGCAAGGGACCCAAGTTTGGTTCCCAGTACCTGGGTCAGATGACTCTCAATTTCCTGTAACTCCAGCTCCAGGGATCCAGTGCCGCCTTTTGGCCTCTGACATCACCTGCACTCATGTGCACAAGCCTAGCATAGACACACACATATACACATAATTTTTAAAAATTTAGATTATCTAACCTAGTGTTATTTGCCCAAACAGAAAAATCCATCATGGGGATCTGAGAGATAAAGAGCAACCAATGAGGGAGATGGGAAGGAAGAAACCATGGAAAGGTGAACTCTTTCAAGTGAAGTGGAGAAAGTATCTCAGAGAAGAAAGTGATCAATCAGCCAAGTAAAATGATGGTGATTCGAATTAAATGAATTCTGAGAATTGGCTGTACTTAACAATATAAAAGTCAGTGCCTACGTCAGCAAGAGCTATTTTAGCCAACTAGAGAAACACTAAACTGATTAGACTGTTCAGGAGAGCAGACAGAGGAAGAATTGGAGACAACAGAAAATTAGTTGTGACTGTCTTTTTTTATCCCCTAATCAGTCCTTCTCACCCCCACCCCAGGCTGTCTAATTGCAATACCTGATGACTTTTAAAATTTGGATCAAGCTATCCTTTGGCTTCATGAATAATAATGTATTGAATGAAAGTATATAAATATCTAAAACGAAACTGCAATTCCCAAAATAAGTTCTTGCTTGACAGTTTTTAACTCGCAATAATAGGCCCCATTTAGATAATGACCTTTTCAGCCCTCATACAGTAAAGGACTCTGTATGTATTTCATATTGTTTTAGAACAATATGAATGTGCCTTTAATCCCAGTACTTGGAAGGCAGGTAGATTTCTGTGAGTTTGAGGCCAGCCTGGTCTACATAGTAAGTTCAGACCAGCCAGGCTATATAGTCAGACCCTGTCTCAAAAAGTTTTTTAGGGGCTGGAGAGATGACTCAGTGGTTAAGAGCAGCAAGACAGGTTTGGTTCCCAGTATCCACATGGCAGCTAATAGCCCTGTAACTCCAGTTCCTGGGGATCCACTGACCTCTGTGGGCACTGCATGACAAGGATACACTTACATATATGCAGGCAAAACACTCATTCACATAAAAATGAATAAAAAGTTTGTTAATCAGTATTAATAAACCTTCAAAGCACTTTCAGTCTGTATTTTCAGATGTAAGCCTATTTTAGAGGGATAGACAGTTATTGCCTACTCATACCCAGGATGAAGGATTTTCATAAAGAAACACTCCTGGTTTCTGAACCATTCCTTACATCTTTTCTTTGGAAGTTATGTGTTACCTTCTGGGGTGGGGGATAATGTGTTACCTACTTGGTGTTTGCCTTTGTTCTGTGTTGTTTCTCTGGAAAGAGCTAATAAATTAAAAAACTATGAACCATGGAATCAATCTTTTCTCCATCTCTCTGTCCTGACCAGTAGATATAGCTAGTCTGGAGAGAGGACAAAAATTATAGTCAGGCCCATTTGGTCCTCATAGGAAACCCGTATTCTCTAATAGCTTTATCAGTATTAAAGGTACCATATAATCTCTCTATGCCTAGCGGTTTTGTGGATGGGGGTAAAGGGTCATTAATTGAGACTTTTTTTTTTGGACTTCTTGACCAAAAAAAAAAAAAAAAGGGTCTTCCTGTAGCCCCAGCTGTCTTGGAACTCTCCACCTCCATAGTGCTGGGATTAAAGGCATGCAGCTAATTGAGCCTTCTTAAACCCTAACAGAGCCTTTTCTAAAACGAAGATCTCTTTCATAGATGACTGATTAATATGTACTGTAGTTATCGAGTATGTCTAATTCTTGTTATGAAATCCACTGAGCTTGTGTTGGTAGTGTGTATAGTTCAATCTTTATTGCCTCTACTCCCTTGTAAATGTGTTTGTGTAATAATAGTTTTCTCATTTTATTATAGAACCCGGAATTACTTTTTAATTTACAGAGGGAGATATGTAAATTCTAGAGTGGTAGATAACCTTCCATTCATTTCTTTTTTTCTTTTTTTTTTGTCTTTTGAGACAGGGTCTCCCTGTAGTCCCAGCTGACCTGAACTCACTATGTAGACCAAGGTGGCCTTGAACTCACAAGGATCCGCCTGCCTCTGCCTCCTGAGTGCTGGGATTAAAGGTGTGTGCCACCACGCCTGGCCATTTCTATTTCTTAGGTAGACATATCAGGTGTAAACATAGAGATGAATTAGTACTTGTTTAATTACGTACTTTTGTTTTTTATTTTTGACAGGGTCTCCCTTGTCCCAACCCACATGGAAATCACCATGTGAACCAGACTGACCTTGATCTCATAGAGATCCACCTGCCTGTACCTCCCAAG